AGAGTGAAACAATGGGAATGTCAGGGAATCTCAACTGTAGAGTTCTCCAATAAAAACACAACTATGGCCTCACGTCTGACCTCATTTCACCCTCCGTCAGCCATTAGTTAGCTGCTGTTACGCACTTCAAGATGTAGGACCAAACCTTTGTGATTAATGTTATTGGTTTCCATACAGCTATCCAGGAAATTTTACATGATTTGTTGACATGAGACCAAACACACAATGTGAATCTGCTTTGTTTCTATGGCAAATAAAAGAGGTAGAAGCTGTCAAAGAAGCGCATTTACTAATTAGTGGTCACGGATGAACACTTTTATATAGGAATGACAAACTACATCTGATTAAAGATCAGATGTGAAGGAAGCATTAAAGTGAAAATATGTCTCCTCTGTTTAGCCAGACTTTGATAGATCATCATTCACTTAAAAATACATTTTCAAAACCAAACTTTTGACACCTCGAGTATCAACAGCCAAAGTCGTTGCCCCCAAAAAAAGCCTCAGAATCAGATGTTAAGTATTTAATCTCTTAGATGTGATGATGAATGAGTGGCTCGTTTTATTGTCTTGGGACACGTTCTGTAGTGGCACCAGATGTTGCTGCCTTTAAAATACTCATAAGTCACACTGGTGTCTATGCCTTTTCACTTTTTTGGAGATCAGGGTAATTGTCAACAGCATCTGGCTAATTCTAATGAATGTAGTTTGATTGTGTGTTGGAGAGAAGAGGAGGGAAGGAGATATGAAAGGGTGTTCTGCCCCCATTTGGTAGCAGACAGAAATGCAGTGTCCATGTATATTCCCTTTAAAGATACATTTAATGCTATTCTCAAGCTACACTAAACACTGATGTATCATGATTTAGATTTCTATGATCAAACACTTTGCACATTGGCAGATTATATGGTAAAGGCAGTGGAGGATTTCTCCAAAAAACACACTAGCAGAGTAGAATGAACAACCATGTGCCTGACTCTACAGTACATTATTACACAAAGACTCACTCTTAGCCATTTATGCAGAAGTATATGCGCACTTCCTTAACAAATATGAAGGCCTAAAGCACCACATTGCAAGCTTTTGGTGGACAAGCATGAATTTTAAACAGATGGCAATATATAAAGTAATGGGAAAAGGTGTTTATTCAAAATGAGCAGTGAGAGCCATCGTGGCTGATAAGATTAACAGTTCTACCTATGTATGTCAAACTTTCTCAACAGAAAAGCAAAACAGCAAAAATACCACAAAATACCAGATTACTTAGCAACAACATTGCCAAAACATCTCCCCAAACAACCCCCCTGCAGGGATTTCAAGGATTATTACTTTAATCCTTGTGGACCTGCTTGGAGGTTTACAATTTAATACTTATCCAGCACCAGTGAAAAAGGTGAATATAATGTTTAACAACTCACAACTCAGCTACATCCTGGTTCCAACTGTATTTTAGCACCCAGAAAGTAAAACTAATAAACAGACAAGCCCTGAAGGTTCACAACTTACTGTGGACTTGGATCACACAGTTGGTGAGCCTGATATGGGTCTTTTCTGGAACAGTCCGGGTTATTTCAGGTCCAACTAGCTTTCAGAGTCTTGGATGGGTCAGTGTGATGGGTTTTTGTTCATTGGTGAAGGCCAGAGTATATTCTACTGGAGTCATCACACGGATTTATTACTGTGTCATACATATTTAATTCACAACACTTTTCCTTTCCCTGAGGCCTAGAGTGATTTAATTATTTGTTTATTTACACCACTTTAAATCCATATTTTATATTAACTATAGACCAGGTGACTATGTATAATATGAAAGAGGTTACTCAAACAAACACACAGAGAAATTTCCCCCGACTCTGCATTTCTCCTCAGCGTTTTAGTGTCATTCAGCTCTTGTTGGTTTTCTTTACTTTAACTTTTTTTACTCTCATCCATTATATTGCTGTTTTGTCACACATTTTTAAAAAGTGCAGCTTCTTGCGATTTGTATATTGCACTTGGCCATATTGCAATTTTGATAATATTGCTCTTAATAGTGCAGCCCTATTCAGAGTAAGACTGATTGAGTTTCCCTCATTCAAAAACACTTGAAGCTGAAAGTAGACGAGAAGGGCTTGAATGAAACTATAAACCAACTAACAATTTCTCTGGTTATGTGAGGCCACACCTGCTCAGTCACAACCCAACCCTAATCCTGCTAAGCTAAATGTTTCAGTCAGCTAGTTTCAAAAATAAATATTCATTCAAGCTTACAATTCAGAGCTCCCTATCCTTAAAAAGTCTGGACCTTTTCTCTGTATGACCATGTGGCCCATTCATTTCCAGTAGCATGTTCCTTTTCAGTAAACTGAAATAGTCTTTCAAACTGCCTCTTTCTTAGAACAAACTGAACACTGCCATTATCCCTCCTACTTCTCTTTACTGAAGGGAGACCCCTCACATAGTAACTGAACAGTGCTTGATTTTTATGGCATTGTTAAAGGGGTAATCATAGTGGCATTTGCCTCTATGATTACTCTATGAATTGGCCTCCCTCAGTTAGGCCTTCTTATAATTTCCAGACCCCCGGTTGAGAGCAGCTCTGTATTACACCAATTAGAGCGGTGAGTCATATGTCATTGGGCACGGGAGAATTCAGCCTCCTCCACTTTGTGCTATAAATTTACCTCTAGCTGTTCCACTGTCATGGTCTATTGTCAGTCTGCTGCTGACTGACAGGTGAAACTGATAGGTTGCCTAAATGCTGGGTTCAGGGCAGCGTTGTAAAACGTATGTGTGTGAGGAGGTGAAAGATCAGGGTTAAATCTGAAATTATATTGCAATTGCCATCATTCATCTCCTTTTAATCACTTTATTTTGCACGAGTCACGTACCATCTCTGGGTGATGTACAAACTCATTGCTCTTTTTAATATGTATCGAGCTCTTTCACAGCAATGTCAGGGGCTAGGCCCAACCCCCAAGGCTTAATTAGATTAATGGAAGAGATGGAGAGGATCTAATGACCTCTCTCCCTGCATCACTGGACAGCGGAAAGATGGAGAGGCTTGAAAAAGTGCATCATCACTCGCCTGCTTCCTCCTCCACTCATCCTCTCCTCTCTTCTGCCCCAGACAGGTCAATGGTCCTTGAGAATGTTCTGAGATACATTACACGAAGCCCACGGCTGAGTCAAGCCCCGTCTGCGTCACTGTGGCATTTGGTTGGTCGTTCCCCAGCGTGACAAGAGGAATGGAATAGCAGAATATGGGCCGAGTGGGTGGGTGACAGTGGTGTAATTTTATTCTTAACGACAAGCGAGCGTATGAGTGTCTCACTGAGATAAGGGCTAAATGAAAACAGAAAAATATGCAAAGAAAATGAAAATGACAATGCAGAGAGATTAATGAGTGGAAATAGCCATGCTTATAGTTTATCGTGCTGATTATGAAGTCAGCTTAATGTATTCATGATGTGGAGTCTACATGCTGTCAATTACTGATAAACTACTGTCACTGTATACAGTTTATGTACTCATTTTGATGAGGGGACCCTTGTGCTACAACTATCATGTGCACAGCGATAGACATGTATGTGCATGAGCACCAGGTGGCGCAGTCCAGGTGGATTCACACAGTGAAAACTGTCTATAGGCTCTTATTTATATTCTCAGAATCATTTACCGTAAAATCTGAATGTTTCTGAACACTCCTAACACAACTGCAAGTGATCAGTGTTAAAAAAAAAAAAATCAAGCACAGAAAATAAAATGTGCGTGTGTCCTGACATGTTCAGGATTCTACCTTTGCTAGTTACCAGGTAGAAAATATGTCAGGGAGCCCTGGGATCTAGCTATAATTTTTCAGAAGGCTTTGTTAAAGCAACTTGCTAAAGTTACAATGGAACATTTAAACTCATAAATCATGTTTTTTTATTGATAAAATAGGGACAACAAGATATTTTAGTGAAAACATTAAATACAAAATTTCACTTAAATTTAAATGGAAAAAAAAATAAGACATGAAAAAAAAAAACATGAAAAGTTATTTTTGCTGAGTTTAATTTTATTGTAATTGGCCACGCTTCATGTTTCATTAGCGAATGTAGAATGCAACAGTATAAAATTCATGACAAAATCAACAACAAGCTTCTCATAGTAAGTGTTATTTGAATTCAGTTTCAAATAGAAGAGCAGCATTCATTGCCATTTCTCTTGAAGTCACATTTTCAATCTTGAATACTTTTGTTTCTCTAATGATTAACTTATAATTCTCAGTAGCACATTACTGTACCCTGACAGTAGTAGCTTATTGATCTAAACCATTCAGCATGTGCCACTGCTAGATGTTGAATCCAAGGATGAAACACCTTAAAATACAGTCCCTCGGATGGCCAGTAGATGCTATAAGATAAAATAGTCGTCTATAAAGTAATAGTAGTACCCACTAGAAGAAGTTCTTAACTAGTGTTAACAGTCTCAATCTAATGATCTACATTAACACACAAGACCATCAGCAAGAAGATTGACTATTTTTATATAGTTATTCTTAATTTGTTAATTAATTCTAAATTTCCCCTTGAAATCAATGAAAAAAAGCAGTAGAAACACTACTGCCTTCAACCACAGGGGCTTCAGCAATCAACAAAAAATTAAAGTTCCTTGTTGTGTTTTAAGTAAAAGACCTGAGTGCTGCTTACACCACCATCTTTACAACTGAACTTGTGGGATTTACTTTAATCTTATCATTATTTTTTCCTCTGTATACCACAGGCATCATATAACATACTGTAAAAGTGTCTTGTGTATAGATACATTAACAGTATGTGGTGCAGTGTAGTCGACTCTAAGTGCAGTGGTTAATGCAGTCTGTATGTATGTACTCCATACACATGTATAGGCAGACCTCAAGTGTCTCAGCCCTGCTTTAGTGGTTACCTATAAGCCAATTTGGATCTTAAATGAGATGGTGATGGGCTTAGATGTCACTGGTGGTAGTGGGGGCTGCTCTCTGTGCAAGAGTATTAGTGACGCTAAAAGCAGTAGCAGCAGTGGGATCTTTCAGCTCCTTAGGAGTCCGTACATTCTCTACATAGTGCACACAGAAACGCAGATGCACCTATAGGTTTGTAGACATGTTTGGTAAGTTGAAGGCCCTCCTCAGTGGCCCACCGCTGCCAGCAGCTTCGGGGACCACCGGAGCGGCCCCTGAACCAGCTCCAGCTCCAGCCCCAGCCCCAGCTCCAGCTCCAGCTCCAGCTCCAGCTCCAGCTCCAGCCAAGGTAAGACATGTAGAAAACAGTGTGCTGTATATTCAGTGAGTAAATGAAAACTGTAAGATATTGTTATTCTTATCCAGTGTCTTAATGGATATTGGATTCTTCTGTGAGGCTCTTACAAGCTTTCAGTAGCTTTCATATTATTTCATATTGCATGTGTGCCAGTAACAGCAGTAGCAGCCAAGACTAAAATCAAGCATGACCACAAACAAAATTAAATATTGCATCCAGACTGTGATACAGCAAGTTTGATTACATTTGTTTCTCTTAAGATCACAGCAGTGGCTTCTTATCTGCTCCTCCATCCATTCAGTTTGCTCAGTACTCTTGCCAACAAAGAATCAAATGAAATTGTTCCATTACACGGACATCATTGAAATCGCTCATTACCCGACAGGCACTTTTGAATTCTATTCATCGCAAACACAGCTTGTTTAAAGAGCCTGTCAGGCAAAGGAGTCATTTGTCAAATGTTAAATTCACTATTCTTTAAAAATGTTGTGTCTAAATTAAAATATCTCTCTAATGACCGTGGGTTGACTAATGAAGCCAAACATCTGACTTTGTGGTAAATGTTGATTTGTGGTGTAGGAGGAGAAGCCAGCCGATAAGGAGAATGAGGCCAAGACAGCGGACAAACCGCAGGGTAAGTTATCATTCATTTGAGAGGCTGAAATGGCACATTTAGATAGGAAATTACTGGCTGTCGCTTTTTGTTTTGTTTGTGTCAGATAGGCTTTCTTCATGATGACTGTCCTTTACCTCTCTCGCACCAAAGCCTGTGCTTAAAACTGTATCCCAGGCAGATACTGGGAAGACTGGGTCTTACAAGGTGGTTCAGGGATATGTTGTAACTTTCTGTTGGAGTTACAAATAGCTGTAATCAGATCTGCAAGGAGAGATATTGATCAGGAAGAAAATCTTATCAATAAGACAACAACACAAATGACACAAATTATCAATATGAAAAGTTCAGCTCTGGTCAACTTGTCTTCAGCTCGATTATCTATCCAAACATCATTGTCCCTGCTTTCTGAGGTCTCTAAGATCAATGGAATTTCAGCAGCTTGTTGATTGTGTTGCTCTCAGTTTAGACACCTGTCCTGCTGCAATTTTGGGGTCAAGCACAATGGTTGAGTCTTTCATCTAGGTCCTGTCAATGCAGCTGATTATACTCTCTGAAAACCAGAGAGATGCAACTTAACTCGTAAACAAGAATACTGCTCGCCTTCCAAGCATGTAGGAGAAACAGTTGCTGCGAAAATGTAGAGCAAGTGTTTGGTTTTTCAGTAGAGTGAGGCCAGGGTGTTGCAATCTGCAGATACACTGCTAGATGCAAGTAAACCTTAAACAATGGTCCTTTAAAATGTGTTGTTAAACTGACCAGAGAAGAAAAGCAAGTATTGGTGTGATATAGTCACTCTCTTAGAACATGTTTAAATCCCAGCAGCAGCATTTTGTGTATGTTGTCTTTGGATGTTTCGCCTGCTGAGACCAGAATAAAATCCATTACACAAATCAAGTCTGGAGGACATAAATGTAATTAGCATTGTTCCCCTTTCTCAGAAGCAACTCCAGCCCCTGCACCAGCTCCAGCTCCAGCTCCAGGTCCAGCCCCAGCACCAGCTCCAGCTCCAGCACCAGCACCAGCTCCAGCACCAGCAGCAGCAGCAGCAGCTCCAGTCCCTGCACCAGCTCCAGCTCCAGCTCTAGCTCCAGCCAACCCTGATCAAGTTGGACCTGATGGGTAAGACCTGCACCCTTTGTAACTCCAATGACATCAACACACCCTCATCATCACCAAATGTTTTTTCTACCTGATATGTTCTCAGACATTTAATTGCGGGGAGATGCATTGAAAGCATGATGTAAGCACAGGCAGTTAAAGAGAGTAGATAAAGAGTATTTATCCCTATAGTATATATCTCCAAACTCTACTTTAGTTAACCAAAACACACGCCTGCCAAGACACTTACACCACAAACCAGTATCAAAGTAATCACCCAGTGAACACTAATTAATCAGATTCCCTGGCAACATGGCAGAGAGGGACAGATAAAGCCCTCACAGATAAACACAGCATGTGAGATCTTATCCCTAGGTGCAACATGCATATTAAGAGGGGGACGACCTGAAAGTGGATTAAAAGCTTTCCAGCTTTTTAGTTTTAAGAAGCTCACCAGGGCTGCTTTTGGCCCAGCAATAAAAACCGTGAAACCAACCAGACTGCTGCTGATCCACACAACACAAGTTGCCAGCGTTTCATCAGGTGATCGTAAAGAGTGGTGGTAGAAGCTACAGCCAGGGGCTGTATCTGGAGCACAGTTAGAGGTGTAAGCCATTACCTTGAATGACTTGTGGCATTAAGAGCCAGTGGGTGTCAAGAGCTCAAAGGTGACGCAAACATGCTCCACAGCAGGGCTAGACCGGTATGGGCTGATCACTGGCATGTTATAAAAGGAGATCACCTTAGATGAATGTAATGTTTGATTATATAGACATATCATTTTAATTTTAATTGATATTGATATTAAAATAAAAGTAATAGAGCAGTCGGTCGATGTTTTGCTTTAGTAGTGCATATTCGCAAACAAACTATCCTACAGTGAACCTGGCACTGGAGATGTTACCCAACTAAATGGCTGATTATTAAACAGTATAACATCTTAATTAAGATGTCATAACATACTATACACTGTTACAAGCAGCACTCTGGCCCAACAACACTAAAAGCAAACAATTACCTGCGGTGCATCCATAGTTTGTCATTTGTTTATAGATGTTGTGACACTGGTTGTTCACCCCAGGGCAGGATAGACTCTACCCTTTTTGTATTGGATTATACAGAGATTGTTTTGACTCAGAGTCCTTCCAGTTGTCTTGCTGGACTTTGTCCACTAGGAGGCGACATATGAACACAGATGCCCCCTTCCTGTGTCTGTACTGCTGAGACTGTCTTTGTCAGCTGAGCCTTTCCACTTAAAATGTCATTTCACAGTATAAATGTCTTTATTTGACATTACAAATCACAATTAGTATGCTAAATCATGTATGGAAAGCAGTTCCTGTTGACTGTAGATTTATGAATTAAGTGTTTTGTTTAAAGTGATCTTCAATTTAAACAACCAGCAGTCTGGTTGGTTGGTTGGAATAAACAGATTCAGAAATCTTGCTATTTTAGCTTTGTATTTATAATCGTAGGTTTTCAAGTACTTACATTTTATTTCAAACCTTTAATACCTGACTTTTCTTTCACCACAAATATGTGGCTCTTTAGCTGCTAAATCCTCCACCATGTTCCCCAGCTAAAGTCAGTTGTCTCTGCAGTTTGGTGCTAGGCAGTTAGTGTACAACTATATTTTTTCTGGATCAGCTGCCTGATCTGGCCAAAGACTCTATGAGACAGGTAACTTTGCTGTTGTGGTCCAGAAAACCATAACAATAAGCTGAACGTGGCTAAAGCTCATATAATCTGTAATAATTCCCATCACTTCAGACTTGTCTTGATACTAATGTTGTATATGTGTGTTATAATGTCCATCTTCATTACATCTGAAACTGGCCAATTTACCCTACTCTTCCACTGCTATTAAATAAGTAAAAAATTAAAAACACTTAGAGTATCGGTTATGGTAAACTGTCAGATGTTGTGTGGCTAATTTCTCTCATGGTATTTTCCATCTTCAGACAAGAGGAGGCCCCTCCTCCACCCATCGTCATCAACAAGTATTCAGATGAGCAGCTCAGATCGATCATCAAACGGATGAGAGACAGACTGCAGCACTACAAGGAGAAAGTTGCTGATCAGTATGCTTCATCCCCGGAGATCAGCCCTCCTGTCAGTGAGTACAAACGCAGAATTATTCATCTGTATGCACACAAGTTAATTCAATTTCAATTCAGTTTTATTTGTTTAGCGCCAATTCATAACAGAAGTTATCTCAGGACACTTTTCAAATAGAGCAGGTCTAGACCGAACTCCTTATAGCATTATTTACAGAGACCCAACAGTACCACCATGAGCAAGCACTTGGCGACAAGGGCAAGGAAAAACTGCCTGTTAAAAGGCAGAAACCTAGGACAGATCCTTCAGCTCTAGGTGGGTGGTCGTCTGTCTCGACCAGTTGGGGTGAGAGAGAGAGAGAGAGAGAGAGAGAGAGAGAGAGAGAGAGAGAGAGAGAGAGAGAGACAGACAGAGAGACAGACAGACAGGTGCACAGCAACAGTATTGGCAATGGCAGTCAAGCAGGACCATGGCAGGAGGCTCCACCAGGATCCATGAGAACCTGCGAGACGAGAAAGCACAAGAACTCCGGGGAAGAAGTGAAGTTAGTAACATGCATTAATGGGACATGAATGAGTGCAGAAAGAGAGAGGAAGAGAGGAGCTCAGTGCACCATGGGAAATCCCCCGATAGTCTAGGCCTATAGCAGCATAACTAAGGGATGGTTCAGGACTCACCTGATCCAGCCCTAACTATAAGCTTTATCAAAGAGGAATGTCTTAAGCCTACTCTTGAATGTGGTGAGGGTGTCTGCCTCCCGAACCACAACTGGAAGCTGATTCCACAGGAGAGGAGCTTGGTAACTGAAGGCTCTGGCTCCTGTTCTACTTTTAGAGACTATAGGAACCACAAGTAGCCCAGCATTCAGAGCAGAGAACGTAGTGTTCTAGAGGGGTAATAGGGTACTATGAGCTCTTTAAGATATGAAGGGGCCTGACCACGAAGAGCTTTATAGGTGAGGAGGAGGATTTTAAATTCTATTCTACATTTTACAGGGAGCCAGTGCAGAGAAGCTAGTGCAGGAGAGATGTGATCTCTTTTTCTAGTTCCTGTCAGTACTCGTGCTGCAGCGTTCTGAATTAATTGGAGCGTTTTAATGGACTTATTGGGGCAACCTGATAATAAAGAGTTGCAGTAATCCAGCCTAGAAGTAACAAATGCATGGATTAGTTTTTCTGCATCAGTCTGTGATAGGATGTGTCTAATTTTTGTAATATTACGTAAATGAAAGAAGGCAGTCCTAGAGGTCTGCTTTATGTGGGAGTTAAATGACAAATCCTGATCAAAGATAACTCCCAGATTCAGTGGTGCTAGAGGCCAAGGTAATGCTATCTAGAGTAACTATATCTTTAGACTGTGAGTCTCTAAGGTTTTTGGGGCCAAGAACAAGAATTTCGTTTTTTTCTGAGTTTAACATCAGAAAATTGCAGCTCATCCAGGATTTTATGTCCTTAAGACATGTTAGTAATTTAGAGCTTCACTTCAGCGGTGTTAGGAAGCACCAAAGTTTAATATTCTTATGTTTATAGTTATCATTGCTGCTTGATTGAGAAATTATATTGTCCTTTCAGCACCTCTGCTGGGCAAAGATGTGTACACAAAAGTCATAGAGGACAGGAAAAGGCAGGCTGAAGAGGACCGGATAAAGAAAGAGGAGGCTGATAAGAAGAAGAAAGAGGAGCAGGAGCAGAAGAAAAAGGAGGCTGAGCAGAAGAAGAAAGAGGAGGAGGAGAAAAAGAAAGCAGAGGCTAAAGATGAGAAAAAGGAGGAGAAGAGCATGGAGACCAGGCTGAAAGAAGCCGCCTGGTATGCGGTGGATGTTGTGCTGAAGCCAATTGAGGACCTGATGGACGGCGTGCTGGGGAAGACCATCGACCCTTTTACAGACCGTCGCTACATCGCCTGGCTGAGCATGGTGACTCTGGCCTTCAACTACAACACCTGGTTCATCACGGCCCGCCTGTGTTTCCCGTACCACACCGAGAGCGCCATCCCTTACTGGTTCGCCATGGACATGCTGGCCGACCTCATCTACCTCACAGACTCCATCCTCTTCCAGCCCCGCAAGCAGTTTGTCAAAGGAGGAGACATCATAGTGAGTCTTAGATCATCCTGGCCAACTGTGCCTGTTACTGAGACTGACCTGGATTAAGATGTAACACAATGACTTTCTTCCTTTCAGAAAGACAGAGAGATGACAAAGAAGAACTACAGAAACTCAGAGAGATTCACGGTATTGGAACTTGAATTCTCATCCCAGCAACCTCACACACTAGGGCTGTGTATTGGCCAGAATCTGGTGATACGATAAGTATCACGATACAGGTGTTATGATTAAATATATTGCAATACTTTAAGCAAGGCTTTTTTAAAAAACAATTTTTTTTATCAAATCTTAGGAAAAAGGAACATATTTTTTTATGCAGTTGGAACAGTGGGATCTGCATTTGTAATTATCAAAGTCCCTGTAACATCAAACCAATATCAGCACTACTTTCTGTGTAATCTGAGTGTCAGAGTAGAAGAGTCCATGGCTGAAGATCTTCAGCTGCAAACTATTCATTAAGAACTGATACAGTGTTTTTGACAATTGATAAAGTATAACAAAAGATAACTCAAGTGTATCAATATTTTCTTACACCCTTATCACACATCTGTCTCTCCTCATCAGTTGGACATTTTGTCCCTCCTGCCATTCGACTTGCTGTACTTCCAGTTTGGATTCAAATCTATTTTCAGAGCCAATCGTCTGCTTAAGGTGAATTTAATCATATGTTGCCAATTGATGTTCAGGACATGTTAGAGTTAGTTTACCAGAGTGACACTTTCTCATGCTTACTCTCAAGGCAGACACATTTTTTGAGTTCAGCGATCGTCTAGAGAGCCTCATGGCCAAGGCTTACATCTGGAGGTAAGTCACATGAAATTAATGATGGCGCCATTTTTGTTGTGTGTTTGACTTATTATCAGGTCAAGGAAAAGACAGGAGCTCAGATTTTAATACATTAAGATATATAACCATGCATGAAAAATAATGAGGAAAGTTTTTTTTAGTTTATATCCCAAATCTTCCCAACAGTTTGCTCTTAAAATGGCAAAAAGAGCAAGTTTAACATGTAGGCGTAGCAATGCAACATTATTAATAATGACACTGTAGAGTTCATGGTGTGTTTGTTTTGTTGTGTATCTCATTGGTATCCCTTTAATGTAACCTCTGGGGACAGACAGAGAGAGAGACGTGTAGGCAGAGATGTAACTCACATCTTTACTTTTCTGTTAGAGTGATTCGGACCATCGGCTATCTTCTATTCATGCTCCACCTCAACGCGTGCTTCTACTACGTGGCTTCAGCCTACCAAGGCATCGGGGGAACTAAATGGGTGTACTCTGGTATTGGCAGCCCGTAAGTACAGAACCTTTATAATGCTGCTTGGGTTTGAGTGTACTGTATGGCATTCTGGTTTGTCTCCATATTACACACTTCTAAAACATGAAGTTGATCTCAGTAATCAGTAATTATTAGATCATTAGGTTAAAGTCAAGTCAAAATGAAATCTGATACTGCTGTCTCATTTTAGCAGACTGCTCAGCTGTGAAGACTTTAGTAATGGTACTACCTCAAGTGATCCCTGATTATCATACTAATGTTGCTGAATTTTAGCAGATGTTAATGAAAATGAAAATGTAATAAATATTTGCACTTCAAGCAGAGGAGACTTTGTCAACAATCCAGTGTAAAATCACAAAGAGAAAATGTAATTAATGTAATGAATCATCAGTGTGAAAGACACTGAGTCACGGTTCAGCAAGAAAAACTCACCATCGTCGACCGCTATCAGCATTTATTACTATCGACTACATTGTCATTTAATGAATGATTTTCACCCACTTATTGAAAAAAGCTCCATGTGTTCAAGTTTAAAAAAGAACTGCTCTTTTGGCTGTTAATAGGGCTGTGTTGACCATACATGGCAAGAAGTGACAACCTGAATATCAAACATAACACAGAGTTCCAGTTTTTTTCGATGCCTGAGAAATCCAAAGACAATCCCAAATTGAAAATCTTTTGTATGTTCCATCTTTGCCACTGCTGCCGCAGTTACCTCAGCTGTTTCTTCTATGCGGAGAAGTCCCTGCTGATGATCGCTGAATTGCCGTTTCCAGACACCATGTTCGGACAGATCTTTCAGATGACAAACTACCTTTTTGGGGCTTTCTTTATGTCCATCATTCTTGGCCAGGTAGTTTATTTGGCATATTTGTTAAATATTTTTTTTTCTTTTTTTTTTTCATGTTTAATGGTGATTTGGTCAGCCTGTCTTTGGATGGCATACTTTTTTTTCTGTCTTTCAGTTTGCAAATCACCTTGTCTCTTAAGTTTAATTTTGCAGCAAGACATCAAGGGAATCAAACGGAACGGAAATAGCAACAATTAAATGACAGCCACACTCCCTAACCCTAAACACACTTGCACACATACTTATTCTGTCTTTCCAAAAACCAAGCCAATGACTCGTAGTGTAGTTTGTGACGGCCCCTCTAATGCCCCCACCCTCTCCACAGGTACCTGCGTTGTTACTACTATGCTGTCCGCAGTCTGATCAACATCGGGGGTCTTCCCGAACCCCATACCGTCTTTGAGATTACCTTTCAGATGACTAACTTTTTCATGGGCGTCTTTGTGTTCTCCAGTTTGATTGGACAGGTAACACAGAGACTGATTGTGCCCCGTAGCATCGTCTGAAAAACTGATAGAAATTAGCATCTCTAAAATAGCATGTCATCACCACTTGTCTCAATAATTTTGTGACGTAGAGATAGATGAATGAACCATACTAGCTTCACTAACACCCCATCATCCATCACTCCAACCGATGTTGTCTCTCACTGGTTTCCTGTGGAGTCTTGACTGTCAAAAGTTTCTCAAATGTGTTAAATGTAGCATTTTAACAACCAACAGTCTTTAAATCTACTCTGGGAGCAGTTAGTTTCCCAAAGTTTTCCTTAGTTTGTGTATTTATTCTCATCTTCATCTTGCCTCAGATGAGGGATGTCATCGGCGCAGCCACAGCAGGTAAGACCTACTTTCGTTCCTCCATGGACAGCACCGTGGAATACATGGTGACCAACTGTATCCCCCCTGCGGTGCAGAACCGAGTCCGTACCTGGTACACCTACACCTGGGACGCTCAGGGCATGCTGGGTAAGTAAGACTGGACAGAGTGCTCAGTTCAGTTTTTACACAATGTTAGAAAGCCTTGAAATGTAAGAAACCACGTAGTTCACATATACTGTAGATACTGCATTTTTTTTTAAACATTGTACCAGTTTTTGTATTTTATCCTGATGCTTTCAGACGAGTCAGAGCTGCTGGATAAGATGCCTCTGGTGATGAGAACCGCCATCGCTGTGGACATCAACCTGGCCACCTTTCAGAAGATCGCACTGTTTCAGGTGATTCAGTGTTTTGTGCTCGCATTAAAACTAAATGGATCTTTAACAACCCAGTTCCAGTTTTGGAAAATGTGATAGAGTTCTGAATACAGCAGTGAAAACTAACTTGATATTATCTCTTCCAGGGCTGTGACCAGCAGATGTTGGTGGACATGTTACTGAGGCTCAAGTCCATCATCTATCTACCTGGAGACTTTGTCGTCAAGAAAGTGAGTATATGTTTATGCGTGTGTGCGTAAAGGATAAACTTTGGTGACCATCATGAAGCAAATAACCAATAATGTATCAAAGGGTTCCATTATTTGAGTGTGATGCTGCGCTCCCTGCAGGGCGACATTGGTAAGGAGATGTACATCATCAAAGGTGGAGCGGTGCAGGTGGTGGGAGGACCTGACAACAGCATTGTGTTTGTCACACTGAAGGCTGGCTGTGTGTTTGGAGAAATCAGGTAGGATTAAGTTCACACTTTCCTTTTGTTCGCCCAAATACGCAGTGTGAAGAAAAAAATCATAGAGCATTGTAAACTCCAGTTATCACACTGTGATAAACATCAGCAGATCTGTTCACATCCACAAACAAAGAACACTTTCAAGGAATTTTTTTTTTTCCCACAGTCTGTTGCAGTCATCCAAAGATGGAGGGAACAGGCGGACGGCTAATGTCAAAGCCTACGGCTTTGCTAACCTCTTTGTCCTGGAGAAGAAAGACCTGTTTGACATCCTGGTCCACTACCCAGAGTCTCAGAAAGTCTTGGCCAGGAAGGGCAAGTGAGTTAGACGCCTAAAGACAGACAGCTGAATTGTTCCTATCATTCGGCTGTCACAGTGGTGTCTCACAGGTTGACTTTAGTGCTGATTCGTCTGGAGATGGATAATCTCTTGGTTGGGCAATTTGGTTCTCGATTCCCATCCCTGACTGAAGTCAGGAAGGTGGTGGTGCAAGAAATCGTATGAATGAAATGAAAAACATATGCACACTTTTCTCTTTCTGTGGGTTGGAGGTAATGCTAAAGAACTCACGGCTGCAAGTAGTGATTGTCTGTGAGTGAAATAATTTATAGTTATAATTTAATGACTCACCTTCACAATAACTTCTCAAGGTCTTTGAGTTAAGATTATATACAACTGATGAATAGCATTTATTATTTTTAATTGATAACTAAAACTATAAAATACATTTTTCTGGTACTTTGGTAATCAACTAATTAACTACGTAATATGCACAGCCATTATTGACAGTTGTTACTAATATTTACTTACACACAGCCATTTCTCCACTCTAAGGCTCAATATATTTCCTCTGCTGAGCAGGTTGCAAATAGTGTCATTTCTTCTGATGTCTCAGCGGCCTCTCTGTTTTTGTGTGTATAGGAAACTAATGAAGGCGAAGGGTCCAGCAGCAGCTAAAGTAGACGAGGAGAAGAAGAAAGGACTCACACTGTTTGGCCCCAAACCGCCCACACCCAAACTGCTGCGTGCCATAGGTGGAAACTTTAACAAATTATTGTCAAAATGAAGGTAACAGCACGTACACTTCCGTCTATATGGGGTCATATAAAAGCCATTGCTGTTAAGCTGACTGCGAAACATTCCATATTTTGTATTTCTTTCTCCCAGACTGCTACTGGAGGCCAGTGAGGATCGTAGTGAGCTTTTCTTTTTATAACTCCTTTTTGGGAGTGAATGTACAGTTTTATTTTCAACCTCTTACTTCTCTTTTGTACTGAGTGTGTATTCCCATGTTCATTTGAACATGTTTAAAAGGATGTTTCTGTTAATACCATTTGGTTTGAGATGCTCGGGGCACTAGACAAGCTGGGGTTGTCTTTGTTAAGACATCCCAGCAAATTAGATGTAACCACGTGAAAACACATTAAAGTGAATTTATAACACCATTTACATTGTCTTATATGGCAGACGCTAGCTGACTTTGGACAACAAGCACATTTAAACACAGATATTATTGAGATGTGTTGAATCTGTCTATAAATGTCAGTTACTTGTGGATACTGCTTGTTGTACTGTATCACTCACTGCCGTTTTTTTTGTTTTGTCTGCTTATATTGGCTGTATTTTCCAGTAGTTGTAAAAGCCTAACAGAGATTATCTGTCGTAACAATTGGTAACAGTAATTCTCACAATATAATATTTGATTGACTTGATCTGTGTCAGTATCTGCTTGAATAAATAATTGAATGATTGAATTACAGTTTACGTCTCGTTGCATCCTGTCCTGTTTGTTTGCTAGTAGTGTGTCCGTCTGTCAGCTTTGTCTTTGTGCAGCAGGGGCTACAGGGAAACAGGCGCTAACTAATCCCTTTAGCCAGACTGGGACTTTGTGAGGGTTAATCTAAAGTGGACTGTGTGTTTGTGAACTCTGGAGCCAGAAGGGACTGAAATAACCCCGTCAGTCTAATTTTACAGCAGCTACTTTCAGCCCGTACAGACACGAGTTACTTCCATGTAATTAATTTGTTATCCCATGATTTAATATAAAGAAAAATGCACTCAGTTCTGAGTGAAATGTAGACGCAAAACTGAGAGTAGTTTTCAATAAACTCAGTAACCTGTTTGTAATAATGAAAACACATCCCGTCCTCCAGCCTGCTGTGACTGGAAGTAATTTGTCTTTTCATCTGACAGATGATTATTAATATGACACCCTTTCATTAATTATTATGGCAGCTTATTTGCCAATAAATTATTGTTCTCCACTGGAGTCAACACTGCGAGTGGCAGTGACAGTTGATCTGGTGTTGGCACCAGTAGAAAGGGGAGTGCCCACAGGGAATTAACAGCTCTAGGAAATTAAATTGCCTGTTGTTTGGATGTGCGACGAGGACTGCAGAGGATTCTTTTAAGGATCTGAGATTCACATAGGAGAGGGTCTTCAGGAGGAGACACCACACCAAGCCCCGCCATGTTCAGCAGGTTTAAGCAGTTGATGGGGGCTCCCAAGCCTCCCCCTGCTCAAGCCGCTACCCCACCTTCTACCCCAGCTCCACCCGCTAAGGTAAGGCCTGCCCTCTTTAGATTATCTAAAATCTAAAAGACCTAGACTTGGAAGGTATTTTGAAAACATTTCTTTTAGCACATTATACTTATTCATCATGAAATGCTCTCAAAACAGCAGTTTTTATATCAAACCAACCAAAAACAAATAATTTATTAATAATAAAAGCTTCTGTCCTTGTCCTTGTCACACTGAGTACATACAAGTTGTTATGAGGTAAACCATGGCAGGTGACTCAGGTGATCAGTGAAAGCCTCTGCAGCAGCATGGCACTGATAAAAAACTGTCACTGAACAGGGAGGGAGGGATTAGTGTTGCTGGGCCTGCAATATTTTTGCTAAAACTGAGGAAGGGGAAACTGCTGAGCATGGACTGAAAGGGTAGTTGGGTACACACTTGAATCAATAGCAAGTATCAAAACTGAAGCCTGAGCATTTAGTATCGCGTTCAGCCAGATACACAACACAGTAGTTAAGTCTTAGAACTGATGGTTGGGTGGACGGTGTCCTGTTTGTCTCAAGAGGTCGTTGTCTGCACACTGTTAGCAGTATTGTGTATTTACAGGAAGAGAAGCCCCCTGAAAAGAAGGATGAAAAAGAGCAGCCAAAAAAAGAGGGTGAAAAGGAAGAAGAGGAAAAGAAAGATGATGAAAAGAAAGAGGAGGACAAAAAAGAGGAAAAGAAAGAAGAAGTGAAGAAAGAAGAAGAGCCCAAGAAGGAAGAGCCAGGTGAGAAGTATTTATTTGATCTGGATTATTATTCGGATGCACGTCAGCATGCCTATTAGTGATGTGACATTTTCAGAAATCAAAAGCCTTGCACCTTGACTGACATGTACTTTCTTCCACGCACCTGTGCAGTGTAGTTTCATACTGTTACATACTCTTTCTCCTTTTGTCTGACAGTTTTGTCTGTCTGTTTTGAGCTTATATGGCTTCAAGCAGATCACTTGGCAAATTATGTTATCTGGCAGAGGGCAATGAAGACGTTAAAGGACCAGTGTGTAGGATTTAGTGGCATCTAGTGGTGAAGTTGCAAATTGTAACTAACTGAACACTGCTCCCGTCTGTATTTGACAACTTGGGAATGGGAACCTGAAGTGTGTAAACTACAGTGGAACTCACAACAAATGCAAAAGGAGCTATCTATAGCCAGTGTTTGGTTTGTCTCTTCTGGTCTGCTGTAGAAACATGGCGTGGCACGTTTAGTGTTTGTGTTCAGTTGTTAGAAACTGAGTGCTGCTTGATTATTCTTCCAGCTCCTGCCCCAGCTCCAGCTCCTGCCCCAGCTCCTGCCCCAGCTCCAGCTCCTGCTGCTGCTCCTGCTGCTGCTCCTGCTCCTGCTGCTCCTGAAAATCCAGAGGGTGCTGATGGGTAAGAATGCATCATATACTGTGTGTACCTCACATTTCACCCAGCTTTCAAAAGTTACTTTAGGTTTTACATATAGGACTTTAACTCAAATGTTTGTTTTTGTTTTTCTCTCTGAGATGCGATCATTTTATATCTTTAGAAGGGACCTCTATTAAGGGGCCTTGGTATTTACCGTTGTTGAGATAAGATGGCAGATGGTCAACTGTTAAAATAATGGAGGACGAGAGAGTGAAAAACACATGAATCCTGATTGGACACTGCAGTTACATATACTACATCAAATACAGGAGTACATGTGATGAAGGCTGAAACAAAAGTGAGAACAATCCTTGTGGTGAACGAAACATTTTTATCTGCAGACATTTCAGGGCAGGTTTTACTTGCTAAGTTGTGATACCTACTATGGCAAATAAAACACTGTCAGATGATCTTTCAAGTCTAAATTCACACTCTGTTCGTGGCGAGAGGAGGATTTTTTTCGTTTGAATATCTTTTAAGCGTTGACATTTTATTGTTTATGGTCTGTTCATCATAGTAATGATGCATGGCTAGTTGAGACTCTAACAGTGATCGATACCTATTCAAATAAACTTGACTTGACTCAGAATACCTTGACCCTGGAGCTTGAACTCTGTCCATTACAGGAACTGCTCATGCCTTTAGTCTCCAGGTATCTGGTATAGGCCAGCACAGTTAAACAATAACAGCTATCACGGTTTAATGGGGTTTATTTGACTTCGCTGTTGCTATCTAACTCTAAAAGTAAACTCATATTTACCCTCCATTTGTTTTATCTTTCCTTATAATACGTACAGTGAGTGGACATACGTACTGTGTGTTAGTTCCAGTAACAGCAGCCATGGCCACACTGTGTCTCGCAACGTGGGACTCCTAAAGTAGGAGAGAAGATTAGGAGCTTAGTGGTATTTGTGACTGAGAACACGTGATTTTTTATTTCATTTATTCTTTTATTAGATTATGCACATGTACAGTATCTTAATTTGAGAGACAAAAGCATGGATTTGATGGTTGATGGATGAAAATGACAAAATCTTATTCTCTCCAACCTATGTGGTCTCCTAAAGAGCTAATTTGGAGTTGTGTATCTGCTGCTTCTTCTATCTCAACTACACTGCCCCACCTGTCCCATTTATTGAAAATCTTCCTCTCTCACTGCTCACCACGTAATATTATTCTCCAGTGATGCCCTCTCACCTCCGTCCTCTCTGATGTACTGTCAACTCTTCTGTGGTATTCCTTTATTCACCTTCCTTTTTTGCTTTTCAGTGAAGAAGCCCCACCTCCTCCTGTTGTCTACTTCCGTTACACAGATGACACACTCAGAAAGTTCTCCAGGAGGTTAAAAGAGCGGACGGAGGAGCTCAGAGAGAAAGCCATTGACCCGTACGCCACGTCACCAGAAATCACACCACCTGTCAGTAAGTATGGACACCGACACACAGACAGAAAACAAACACTAACATGGCCAAAGGGATGTCGGGCTCACTGTCTCTCTCTCTGCCTGTTCAGCACCTATCCTGAGGAAGGAGGACTACATCAGGAAGAAGGAAGAGGAGCGAATTGCAAAAGAAGAGGCGGATAAGAAGAAGGCAGAAGAGGCGGCCAAAAAGGCAGAGGAGAAGAAGAAAAAGGATGAGGAGAAAAGGCTGGAGGCCGAAAAGAAGGCGGAGGAGGAGAGGCTGGCAGAGGAGGCCAGGAAGAAAGCAAAGATTCTCCCGGAGATCAGCTTCGCCTTCATCGACGTGCTCCTGCGTCCAGTTGAGAGCATGATGGACAACGTCCTGGAAAACACGCTAGATCCTTTAGGTGAGGTGCACACTGTGACAGCTGGGATGCAATGAACAGACAAAAATACTTGGAAAACATAACGTCTGTATGTCTTTCTCTCTCCAGATTATCGGTATATAGCCTGGTTGTCTCTGGTATCGTTGGGATTCAACTACAACGCTTGGTTTTGCACTGCCCGGATGGCCTTCCCTTACCATAATGCAGCTGTCAACCCCTACTGGGCAGCTTGTGACATTCTTAGTGACATAGTGAACGTTATTGACATCATAGTCTGGCAGCCCCGGCTGCAGTTTGTCAAAGGCGGAGACATTATTGTAAGTCACAAAGCATTATGAAGAATCTCTATTAATGACTTTTAAGTGTTCTTAAACCCACCTAAATTGTAATACTGTGTGTAATTCACAAAAACCATCTGTCCCCTGCAGAAAGAAAGAGCTCTCACTAAGGTACATTATCGGAAATCAGCACGATTTAAGGTGAGATTTAATTATATTTCCAGTGGTGGAAATTAACTAAGTATAGGTATAGTATATACCTTATTTAAAATCGAAGAATCTATAAATATGCAAATATCAAAGTGTTTCTTGTAACAGAGAAATGTTCCGCAGATGAATGTGAAAACACGCTTCCATTGTCAAACCCTGCACATACATCATTCACACATCACACTAGGAACAAATTTTTGAGTGGAGGGGACTTTAAATACAGTTTTGAGCAACTTGTGCTTTACTAAAGTATTTCCATTGAATCCCTTCACATACTAATGCTCTACTACATTTATTTAACAGCTTTTAAATATAAGTAAACATATGATACAAATACAACAGGCAGTTGGCCTTTTTTGGCTTGTGACTCAGTGTTTGTTTGGGGCCCCGTCACATTTTAGAGGTCTATAAGTTGTTAGCAGTTCCACCAAAGAGTGATTTCAGCTCTAAACTTCTCAGATGGTTTTATTTAAATAATTGTTCAAAAGAAGTCACATTGTCTTACCCCATTAATCATCTCACGAC